GTTTCCAAGTGTTGAAATCTCTTCTTGTACATTGATGTCTGCACCTGTTTTCCATAGAGTGTACATTTGATTGACAGCCGAAACGATCATAACTTTCAAATGACATCCATTTTATTGGGCTGTAGCTTTTCAGGTGTTGCGATGGATTTAATTTGAATGAGCTGCTATGTTAAATATTGTTATTTACAGGGCTTTTTTTGTAGAAAAAGCCCAGCAGGAACTCATTAGCATAATAGGCCATACCCAATAGCAGGAACTCATTAGCATAGTTCCTGTGCGTTCCTGCCCAGAAATAGCCCTGGTTTTTTACTACATTTTTACCCCCCCCCCCCCCTTTCTCCCCAGTGGGCTCCCAAAGGAGCATACATTGTTCTCTTCTCCACCATTTTATCCTCACAACATGGGGAGGTAGGATAGAAGGGAGTGGGTGACCACAGCAAGGTCGCCCAGTAAGCTCCCACAGGCAGAGCGGGGATTCGAACTTGGGTTTCCCAGATCTGGGTCCAACCCTCTGACCTCTACAGAACACTGGCTCTTACCAGAACATCTCAAACTAGCACGTTTGGGGGGGGGGGGGGAAGAGAAACTAGCCTAAAACTTTCTTCTTGACATGCCGAGTGGGTACTTGAAGCCAGGTATCCCTGCTAGGGTTGCCAGACTTGCCAACCTCCAGGAGGCGGCTGGAGATCTCCCGTTGTTACAACTGATTCCCAGGAGACTGAGATTGGTTCCTCTGGAGAAAATGGCTGCTTTGGCAGAAGAAGAAGAGGAGGAGGAGGAGGAGGAGGAGGAGGAGGAGATTGGATATACCCCGCCCTTCACTACCCGAAGGAGTCTCAAAGCAGCTCACAATCTCTTTTCCCTCCCCCTCCCCACAACAGACACCCAGTGAGGTAGGCGAGGCTGAGAGCACTCGTTCGAGAACTGTCCTTGAGAGAACTGCTCTGAGATAACTTATGACAGACCCAAGGTCACACCGGCAGCTGCAAGTGGAGGAGTGGGAAATCAAACCCGGTTCTCCCAGATTAGAGTCCGTGCACTTAACGACCACACCAAACTGGCTCTCAAACTGGCAGGTGGTCTCTATGGCATTATACCCCATTGACGTCCCTCCCTTCCCCCAAACCCCGTAGCTGGCAGCCCTAGTCCCTGGTCCTAGTCCAGCATGCTAACCACCCTGGTTTTCTAAGTGGGGAAAAGCTGCCTCTTGGCTCTAGCAGTGCCTATCCACATCCAGGCTAGTGCATGGACCCTGAGGTGCTGTGCAGTGCGCGCCTTCCCGTTCCACACACTGCTGCCGCCAACAGACACCCAGTGAGGTAGGCGAGGCTGAGAGCACTCGTTCGAGAACTGTCCTTGAGAGAACTGCTCTGAGATAACTTATGACAGACCCAAGGTCACACCGGCAGCTGCAAGTGGAGGAGTGGGAAATCAAACCCGGTTCTCCCAGATTAGAGTCCGTGCACTTAACGACCACACCAAACTGGCTCTCAAACTGGCAGGTGGTCTCTATGGCATTATACCCCATTGACGTCCCTCCCTTCCCCCAAACCCCGTAGCTGGCAGCCCTAGTCCCTGGTCCTAGTCCAGCATGCTAACCACCCTGGTTTTCTAAGTGGGGAAAAGCTGCCTCTTGGCTCTAGCAGTGCCTATACACGTCCAGGTCAGTGCATGGACCCTGAGGCGCTGTGCAGTGCGTCCCTTCCCGTTCCACACACTGCTGCCGCTGCTGTATACTTTGAACTGTGCTGACAACATGTTCTAGGACCGTTATGTTTTACTAGCGTATCTTCATCCCAAAGAACAAATCCCTTCTCGTTTTATAAAACAATTCAGGACAGGCTATTGCATACAAAAAGAGCTTGGCATACAGCGGGCAGGGGGGGAACGATCGTTTTTCTGAAATGTGTAACAGTGGAGGGTGTGGGGCTCGCCCACAGAGCCTTGATATGAGAATAAGTCTGTTTCAAACATGTCCCTTTTTGCCTGGAAGCGATGACGCTCGCTCTGAGGAAGGCCATCTGGTCTGCCCAGTTTGTTATGGCCGGGGCCTGCTTCCGGGAGGGAAGCTCTTATCGTCGGGAAAGGAAGTCATCCATCCAACAGGGAACAGTCTCCAGTAGCCAGAAGGAGGGGGGGGAGAGCTGTGGACAGAAGAGAGGCCCCCCCACCCCCAACCGCACACCATGATGCCCAGCGATTGCTAGTGCCCGCCTGCAAATGTGACCGTGCCGGGTGGCAGTATATGGTGAAAGCTCTTTCACTGGATGGAATCAACTTGTCTGCACTGTAGTTCTGCTGGTGACCCTAACAGCTGCTCGACTTGCTTAGCCTTTGGGACTTTGCTCCCTGACTCTTGGACTGCCTTCCGGACCTTGCCTCTGGAATATGTGATCCGAGGACTTCTGGGGAGGAGGAAGGAGGCATCCTATGCTCTAAAGAAAACCAGCATGGCAGGGGGGAAAAGACAAGATGCAGATGACAAAGACAACCCAAAATGCCTTCTGGCTTATAAACGAGGTTCTTCCACTGTGTGGGATGAAAAGAGGGGTGTACATCTCTCTGCAGTCATACTTCTGCGCATTTTAAAAAACAAACGCTCATAGAATGACTTTAATTAGAAGGAGGAGGACAGTAAGCAGTCGGGGTCAGGCCGAAAGCAGCACAGAATGCAAGGAGGACTAACAAAAACAAAGCGAAGCTGCTCTGTGGGAAGCGCCTCCTCTCCCTGCCCTCCCACCCCTGTGTGTGTGTAAAGTGCGATCAAGTCACAGGCGACTTGTGGCAACCTCGTTGGGTTTTCAAGGCAAGAGAGGTTCAGAGGTGGCTTGCCGTGGCCGGCCTCTGTGTAGTGACCCTGGTATTCCTTGGACCCTGCGTCGCTTCCAAGATCTGTTAGGCTGTTCCATCAGTTTAGGAGTTTTTAACTTTGAACATGTTCTTTTATGTGTCAGTTGGCACAAATACTCTCCTGGGTAAAAACCAAACCAAAAAAAAAGGTTCCTTCCATGGTTTGGAGTGGTCAGAACGGACCCTTCGTGTGCATGCACCTCTCTCTATAACGGCTCCCTACTCTTCTGCGGTGGCTCAAGTGGTTAAGACGATGAACTGCAGGCTGTGGAAGGTCAGTCGTTCAGCAGTTCGAGACCCGAGTGTGCCGCATGACGGAGTGAGCTCCCGTCTCTAGTTCCAGCTCCGGCCAACCTAGCAGTTCGAAAGCAAGACATTGCAAGTAGATAAATAGGTACCACTTCGGTGGGAAGGTAACAGCATTCCATGCGCCTTGGTGTTTAGTCATGCCGGCCACATGACCACAGAAACGTCTTCGGACAGCGCTGGCTCTTCGGCTTGGAAATGGAGATGAGCATCGCAACCCTAGAGGCGGACTCGACTGGCTTTCGAGCAAGGGAAACCTTTACCTTTACCTTGCTCTTCTCTGCCACTCTCCAGTCACAGCTCCCCTTCTCCCCCCCCTCCCATTGACTCTCCATCACACATCGCTTTTAGCTCTGGTGGGATCAGCAGTGCCGAGAAGCAGGGCTTCCCTCCCTCCCTCCCTCCCTCCCTCTAATGCCCCTCCACCCAGGGAACGGAAGAGGGACCCAGAGGCCTTAGCTACAGTTGCCAACCTCCAGGTGGCGCCTGGAGAGCTCCTGCTATTACAATTGCTCTCCAGACAACCAAGATCAGTCCCCTTGGAGAAAATGGCTGCTTTGGAGGGTGGTAAAGGTTCCCTTGTGCGAAAGCCAGTCGAATCCGACTCTAGGGTTGCGGTGCTCATCTCCGTTTCAAAGCCGAAGAGCCAGCGCTGTCTGAAGACGTTTCCGTGGTCATGTGGCCGGTGTGACTAGACACCAAGGCTCACGGAACGCTGTTACCTTCCCACCGAAACGGTACCTATTTATCTACTTGCAATTTCTTGCTTTTGAACTGCTAGGTTGGCAGGAGCTGGAACTAGAGACGGGAGCTCACTCCATCATGCGGCACACTTGGCTCTCGAACTGCTGAACTACCGACCTTCCACAGCCTGCAGTTCAGCGTCTTAACCACTTGAGCCACCGCAGCTCCTTGGAGGGTGGACTCTCTGGTTTTATACCCTGCCGAGGCCTCTCCCTAAACCCCGCCCTCCTTAGGCTCCACTTCCAAAATCTCCAGGTATTTCCCAACCTAGAGTTGGCAACCCTGGCCCTTATCAAGCCCTTCCTGTGGGTGACACACACAGGAAGCAACAGAACACATTGCTCTGGTGTTCTCGACTGTCCTCGCTGCTGCCAAACGCTAGGTTGCTTCAGTGTTTCCTTTCAGCAGTTGGACTTTTACTAGGCACTTAATGGAAGCCCAGCCACACTGCCAGCTGACACAAGCCTGGAATTATAGTGTTTTCTTTGACATGGGAGAGCCTCTGTCTTACAGTCCTTTTGCCCCACAGAAAGTGAAAAGGTTTCTCCTGCCCAGCTATCCGTAACAACAGAAGGGACATCTGTTTTATGCCATTCTCTTTGCACTACCGATGGCCCTCTGCTGCATGAGGACTAGCACCATGTAATCCCGTGTTCTGCCATGAGTGCCCTCTGCTCTCCCCTGGGTTTGTGAGGCTTAATGCTGACGCCTTCGTACCCATAAAAAGGCAGCAAACAATGCAACAGCAACATCTAGTGGCAGAACACAGCACTGCAACACAGCCTTAAAACGTCACCCTGGATACTAAAGCTTCCATTCTGGAAAGGATATGCTTTTAAACAAACGGCCGTGCAGAGCCCAGGTTTATCAGCCACAGAAGGTGAAAGAGGCGCACTGGTTTCTCAGCATAGTCTTAAGGGTGGGTCATGTGTCTGTGTGCATCCCTGGCGGGTTGTAGCACTAAACCGTGACGTGTGGGAGCCATCACAGAGAAGAAACTTCCATATCACTGTATTATTCAGTGTTTGCACACCGAGCTGAGAGCTATCATGTGTCAAGTAAACAATTGTGAGGGCGAGCGCGAGTGAGCCAGCCCTCAGTTAACAAGACAGAGGAGTCTCCATGCTGTCTCTTTCAAACCCGCGTGGCTGCCGAGTCCAAAAATAGGCCATTAAAATGTATCGACTCCTCTGACCCTCTTCGCTCTTCTCCCCCCCTGACGAGGCTGCACTGCTGCTGTTGTGGTTGGTCAGGCGGTTCAAGATGGCGGCTTTGTGGCAGCAGAGCAGCCTTTCCTGGAACTCTGATGTTGTGAAGTAATAGAGAATCGGATCCAGGCAGCAGTTGAGACTCGCCAGGCACAAAGAGATGGGGTGAAAGTACAACGCTCTGTGCCGCACAGCGCAGTCCTGGATGGCTTCCCGTTTCACCATCATAAATATGGGGAAGTTGACATGGTAGGGCGTGAAGCATATGAAGAACACCGCTGCGCACGCCAGGATCATGCGCAAAGCTTTCCGCTTCTCACTGGTGGGTTGCAGAGGTGCGTGGAGCTCCTGTAGGGATTGTCTCATTTTCCACGTGCAGTAAAGGATGAGCGCCAGGGGGACCACAAACCCGGCAAATTCGGCCACGACCACCATGGCCACCGAGGCTTCCACTGCCACCTGCTTCATCCCAAGGTCCGCAAAGCAGGTTCTGGTGTCATTGGATATGTCAGAACTCCTGAGAATCGGGAGGGGCAGGCAAGCGGCCCCCACCCCTGCCCATATGGCGGCGCTGATGGCGATATCGTACCTGCGCTTCCAGTCCTTGGCTTTGAAAGGGTGGAGCAGGAAGAGGCACCGCTGGATGCTGATACAGGTAAGGAAGAAGATGCTTGCGTACATGTTGAGGTACTTGAGGTAGAAGCACACCTGGCAGAGGAAGCTCCCAAAAGGCCACGTATGGTTGAGGTAGTAGTACATGCGCAAAGGCAAAGAGAAGACGTGCGCTAAGTCGGCAGCCGCCAAGTTGATCATGAAAATGACGGCTTTGCTCTTCTTGCTGACGAAGCAGCACAAAACCCAGAGGGCGAGACCGTTGGCTAGGAGTCCAGGGACAAAGATGATCGTGTAGGTGGCTGCGTAGAGGGAGGTGTGGAAATCTGTCGGGGGATCGGTGCAGTTTGCTGAGGAATTAGTGTTGCACATCGCGATTAGAGGTGCGCAGACTCAAAAGGCAGATCAGGCTGGCTGGAAGAACCCTATTCAGAAGACATTTAAAAAAAACAGGATGTCAAACCCTGACTGGTCTATAGTAAAATCCAACACCAAAAACTGCACAATACATTTTATTAAGACCAACCAAAGTAACACGATGCACTCTGGAGACTTTTGAGTTCTCCAGAACTCTTAATCAGGCTGGATGTTAAAGAACGAAAAGTGGAGGGGAGGGGAAAAACACGTCTTTCTGGCCATGATGGTTAAGTTTTCTTTGGTAGCATCCTGATGCTTCAAGCACAGGTGTCAAACTCATTCGTTACGAAGGCTGGGCCATGTATGCCATAATACATAAATGTCACTTTGTTGGGCCGGGCCATGTATGCCATAAAATGTATCACCAGGTACCAGAGAGATAAACGTTATAAAGGACATAGGCAAACCCAATTAACAATATTATTTTTCACTCAAAATATAAACAAAAACAATTGATTTCTAGTAGTGAAACCAATTGATTTACTGGGGAGCCCACAAAAGCCCCAATAAATGTATTTAATAATATGCAAGGCTAGGTTTTTTCCAAGGGATATCATAAAAGGAGGAGTACCTTACATTTCCATACATACCAATTGCTTGCAGGCTGGGTAAGAGCCCTGGAAGGGCCGGTTCTGGCCCCTGGGCCTTATGTTTGACAAACCCTGGCTTAGAGGGTACAGGATATGGCTAACTGGTATCAGATTAAATCCAGTGGCACCTTTAAGACCAACAAAGTTTTATTCAAGGTGTGAGATTTCGTATGCATGCTGGAAATATGAAAATAGAATGGAAGCCATCCAGCTGAAAACGGAACAGCACATAGTGGATTCCATGAAGAATTGACTCTTTACTTCTCCCCCCCCCCCCCCCGGCACTTTTAAAGGAACGTTTGGTATCTGAGAAACATGTCAACAGAAGAGGGACAGAAAATTGTCCTAAAGAAGCCTAGAGAGGAGGGATCATTTTGCATATTCAAATGGCACGTTTAAAATAAAATACATTGTTATGTTCCCTGTTTCTTGACTGGTGTTTGGGGTTCTGTGGTATCTCTGCTTCCTTTGGAGGAGAGATATTAATTAACACTAGAACCACTCCCACCCACCCCCAAAACCAGGGAAAAATACCACAGAAACTACTTAGATGTTCAGTTTAGCAAGAGGAACTAAAGTCTATGTATTTTTAGAAAGGGGGCTGACATCCCATTCATAGCTAGAGACATTTTCGTACAAACTCAGATGTGCCTGAAAGGGTGTCCCTTCCTGTCTGATGATTCAGAGATTGTGGAGTCATTTCCCATGCCAAGGGTGTCAACCTCTGTCAAGCGCTGGGAGTGGCAAAATTGACACTGGTTACAGCATGGCATGGCTGGGTGAAAGAGTGCCTCATGTCTTACCAGGAGATTTAACATGGAGGAGAAATGCCTAAGCAAATTCTCTTACATTTCGGCACACAGTTCCAAATTTATATTCTCCTAATCTGGATTTTCCCCTGCCCTGCATTCCCAAATGGACTGTACTAATGGAACCCACAGCATATAACTTTGACTAGGGATGGGCATGAACCGGCTCACAGATGAAAGTTCCTGATGAATTTTGGCTGGTTCGTGGCTCGCAAAGGGAAGTTCGTGGCAGGTCAACGGGCACAACCTTTCCACAAACTTTCGAGCTGTTTGTGGAGGTTTGTGCCTGTTCGTGAACTGATACATTTCCAGACAGACTGTGTCCACTCAATCTCAATGGTTTCCAAACTTCAAAGCAACAGGGGTGGGACAAAACTTGGTGGGCATGTAGGGGGACAAAGGGGGACTTTGATGTCCCTTGCTTCCATAGGATCCATTCTATACCCTCTTGAACCTCTACCTGTCAAAATGACCACCTGTCACGGAACGGATCCTGTGAAAGCTAGAGACCCCAAACTTGCAGAGGACGTCCGGATGACTCTCCTCCACCTGCCCTCCAAGCTTGGTGAGGAGGTCGAGTTACGGCCACCCAAAGGAAAGTGCTTTTTGGGGAAATGACCAAGGTGCCCCTGGGAAGGAGATTAAGAGGAGAACAGCCCCCTTCTGTGGTTGCTGGTTATCAACTAGCACTGAATAGTACACTGCCACCAAACACGGACCTTCCACTTCACGCATTTCCACACATGCTGAATAATGCACTTTCAATACACTTCCAATGCACTTTAGTGATCATTGGCAAGTGAATTTTGCTGTTCCACACCATAAAACCCAATTGCAAAATGGATTGAAACGGCATTATTCCGTGTGCCTGGAAGCAGAAGAGATGAGGCTGGTTCTTTCCTCCATGCCCTTGTCTCTCCCCGCCCCCCGCCATGTCCGATACTGGCTGTTGTCACATCATATAAACCATGTGCTAGGCAAAGGAGGACTTTCTTTCATCTATCCAGAATCAACTTGATTGTGTGCCCCTCCCCCCCAAATTTTAGTATTGCTGGTGCAGAAACATCCTACTTTCTTCAGCTTGGAAAGAAGATCTCAAAAACACTTCTAGGATGTGGGTTGGGCCAAGAGAAGGGTGACAAGTGTCAGAGTCACGCAGCAATCAGTTCCCAACAGTTTTCATTCAAAGAAGTAAAGTTTATTGAGACATATGAAAGTATGCGGATATCTTAACTCTTGTGTTAGAACTAACCATAAGCGCACAAACCCTACATCCTTCAAAGGAGTCCTCTGATGGTCGAGGGCCAATCAGAAATTAGGTAAAGGCCCGCCGAAGTAACGGGTCAGAATTCTCAGGAGAAAGACACTAGCAGGCATTCAAGGTTAAAAGCATCGGTTACAAGATAATCAGAGCAGCGAAGACACAGCAGAATCGAAAGTCAAACTTCCAGAGCCACCCCCTCACTCTCATGGCAGCTAGAGGCCTAGCTGACAACAAGATATGAACCCCCATCTCCCCAAATTAAGCCCTAAGCTGACTACACCCTATTACCTCCCCTGTTTTTATCTGCTAAAGCTGCCTTTCGGTAATTCCAGATGGGTAATCTGGTTAGCCTGCAGCAGCAATACAAAGCAGGACTCCACCGGCTCCTCAACGACTGACCCAATTTATCTCGGCCGAATATTTCAGCCTCGTGAGTCAGCTAACTTTATCAGATGCGTCAGGTGTGCATCCATCAGGCTGAATCATGTATGCAACAGAAACGTGGGTGAAGGGGAGGGTTACAGAGAGCCTCGTGTCTGTCCAGAAGTCTTTGCAGCCACCGTTCAGTGTCCTTGGATCTCCACCACCACCACCCCGCCGCCAATTAGTACATGGGAAGCAAAAGAACTGTGGCTTCTGCTATCAAACCCCCAAAGGCTATCTGAAGGTCTTCAAAAATGAACCCAAAAGAGGGACAACGGATGAGGGAGACATTGACACCCACACTGAACTGCAAAAGCTTTGGGGGCATCTTATTTCAACTTTATTTGTGTAATGTATTCAGCCTGACATGCCCGGACTTGCCCGGGCTGGCCAGGCACCATTCCTATGTTACCTTCAGTCGAAAGACAAAGGATCCGGAGGATCCTAGCCGGCCCAATCAAAAAGGCTAGCTTCCCAGCCGGGAGACCAATGGTCGCCCGGTTACTGTAAATAGCCTATCGGGAGTAGGGGGTGTGTTTAGGTATGCTGGGTGGCGGGTTTTCTGAACATATATAAACCGGCCTGCGAGCCGGTCAGTTGTCTTTGTCCTGAACCAAATAAAGGTATGCTTAGCTGAAATCACTCTCCGTCTGCATACTTTTCAATTTGTCACCTCTAAATGATTCTGGGATTGTCCGGAGGAAGGTGATTGGCACAAAGCAGTTCAGTCTGGGATTCTACCCAAGTCTCTTCTTAACTTTACCAAAAAAATCCAATTTGATGAGCAACCGTTGGGCCAGTTTGTTCACCATCATGAAGGAGCAAGACATAGCCTTGGTTCGTATTTAACGTGCCATATTAATTGACCTCAGTATGCATATGTTTGTTTATGTGCAAAAGCTCACGCGGTCCATGGAAAGGGCCCATGCAGGGCTGGCAACTGCATACCTTGAGGGGGAATAGCTGCCGGGGCCCAGGGCTCCAAGCAGGGCCCACCGCTGCCAACTCCCCACCCGTGTACCTGCCTTGCCACCTCTCGGTGCCCCTTTCCCCCATCCTCTTATGAACACTCTGCCACCCACACTCTCAGCTGCATGTACTGCCAAGTGCCCCTGGGGAGGGTGGTGCGAGTGGAACGTGGTGGTGGCACTTTGGCCATGGTGGCAGCACTCCAACCTGCACGTTGCCCAGCAGCACTAGGGGAAGGGCCGGTGGGCGGCTGGGAGTGTGTGCATCGGGAGGGCTTAAGAGTCAGCAGAGGAAGGACACACAGGCAGGTGTGAGGGATGCAGGAGGGGGGGCTGGGGAAATGGCATATGTTGGGGGTTAGTGGTGGCCAGAGGAGGAGATGGGTATCTGGGCACTGTCTGCGGAGGACCCCCTAGGGTTGCCAGGTCCTAGCTGGCTGCCGGCAGGGGGGAGGGGACTCCCGATCCTTCCTTGAGTTCCTCTGGTGCGCGCGCCACGATGACATCACCCGAAAGTGCCATCATTGCATTTCCGACATTGGGGTGATGCTCTTGGTTTTGCGCAAAACTCTGTGCTTTTGGGGCATCTTATTTCAACTTTGTCATCTCTAAATGATTCTGCGATTGTCCGGAGGAAGGTGATTGGCACAAAGCAGTTCAGTCTGGGATTCTACCCAAGTCTCTTCTTAACTTTACCAAAAAAATCCAATTTGATGAGCAACCGTTGGGCCAGTTTGTTCACCATCATGAAGGAGCAAGACACAGCCTTGGTTCGTATTTAATGTGCCATATTAATCGACCTCAGTATGCACACGTTTGTTTATGTGCAAAAGCTCACGCGGTCCATGGAAGGGCCCATGCAGGGCTGGCAACTGCATACCTTGAGGGGGAATAGCCGCCGGGGCCCAGGGCTCCAAGCAGGGTGGGGGTTTTGCTCAGCAAGGCTACTGATTG